GGTCACTGGACCCAAAACATTAACTCTGTTTTCTCCTTCACAGATGCTGCCAGACCTGCTGAGCTTTTCCAGCAACTTTGTTTTTGTTACACATTGCCACTTCTTTGCAATGGTAGTGGAGTGCATTTGTGGCAGTGACACAAATGAAATGGGCTGGATGATGTTAAGTTTATCAAGCATTGTTGGAGTTGCACTCCATCCCACTCCTAACTTCTGTCTTGTAGATGAGAGACAGGCTTTAGGGACACAGGAAGCTAGTTACTAAGTTGCTTCCAGGTCTGAGGGGATTTTCTTATGAGGAGAGATTGAGTATTTTGGGCCTGTAGTCATTGGAGTTTTGCAGAATGGAAAAAAGACCTTACTGAAACATATAAAGATGATTAGGCGGCTTGACATGGTAGATGCAGAGAGGTTGTTTCCCTTGTGCATGAGTCTCAGGTCAGAGGGCATAGTCTGTGTAAGGAGTCACTCAATTAAAATGGATTGGAATGAATTTCTTCTCTCTAAGTAATGAATCTATAGAATTCTTTATGGTAGAGGCCTGTAGAGGCTGGGTTATTAAGAATATTTAAAGCTGCGATAGATTTTTAATCAGTAAAGGTATTATGGATTATGGGGATAAGACAAAAAAGTAGAGTTGACAAGTATCACTCAGCCATGATCTCATTTAATGGTAGAGCAGACTTAGAACATAAGAACATAGAACATAAGAACTAGGAGCAGGAGTAGGCCATCCGGCCCCTCAAGCCTGCCCCACCGTTTAATAAGATCATGGCTGATCTTTTTGAGACTCAGCTCCACTTACCCGCCTACACACCATAACCCTTAATTCCTTAACAAACTTAACAGTCTGAATAACCTGCTAGTGGTCCTATATTTTACAGTTGTACGATAACTTGTGGTTTATTTCCCCACATTTCTCCCTGACCTGCAGAGAGTTTTCATCACCTATCCTATTAGTAGATTTTAGTATTTTCAGCACTTTGCTTTTGATCATATACTTATAACTGGATACTAAAATAAGTGTTTGAAAGAGGTGGGGAACTGCTTTTAAACTCCAAAATGCTTCTTGCATCCTTGACAATTTCTCACATTAATGTCAACATCATTGACAGGGTTCATTTCTAGTTGAGAAGGAGAAGCTTCTGGTGCTAACCTCAGGCCAGGGTACTTCAAACAAACACTGATTAGCATGGGGGAATTTTGGAGCATTTAAATTCCAAGTTTGGAAGATTAAAAAGAGGTCATATGTCTGATGGCTGTGCCATTTATCCTCATTGCATGAGCCTGAAACTTGCTGTGATTTGAAGCAGCAATATGGGTTTGGTGGACCTGACACTGGTGTGTTCCATTGGATGGTTGTGGGTGTGGGACAGTCAAATAAATAAAGGATAGCCACACCCATTGGAGTATATAATCCTTTGGGATGTTTTGTTCCTGGGTGTGTTCTGTCTCTCAGGGCTTGTTCCGTTGTGTTCAGGTGAACAATCTGAATTGTGAATCTTGTGAACTTTTTTTAACCAATACAGAAACCCTGACATTCAGTGTTAAACATTAATAACATTTTAAATAAAAGCTTTGAAGCTTCATAAAACATGCACACTGTTCACCTACCTCTTGGGAGAAATTGCCTGCCAGCTGCCAATCTCAATGCCTTGAAATTCAAGGAATTATCACGTTGAAGGTTCATGAGAGTGAAAGTCTAAGGTGCGAATGTTTTTGATTTCTGATACATTAAATCACATTTATTCTGTGCTTTATCCTGTTCTTAGATACAGAAAATTTTTGATCAATTAATTTTCAGATACTTTACTCTTCACTCTCTTACAGTCAATCTACTTGCAATTGTCATCCTGTCCCGGGGGAAGTGTGGTGTTTCTAGCTGCACTACTTGTTATTTGGTAGCCATGGCCACAGCGGATCTACTGGTCATTATCACTGAAGACATACTGTGGTGGAACAAGTACTATTATTTCCCAGTGTTTTTCCTGGACATCACCCCGTGTGTAGTATTAGCTACATCCTTTTCCGTACAGCTACAGACATTTCTGTATGGTTCACTGTCACTTTTTCCTTTGATCGATTTGTGGCCATTTGCTACCAGAAGCTGAAAACAAACTATTGTACGAAAAAAACTGCATCTGTGGTTCTAGCTACAACTTGCATTCTGCTAATTTTAAAAAATGTCCCCTTCTACTTTACAATTGAACCTGTATTGATAATCAATGATGTACCATGGTTTTGTGTTGAAAAACCAAGCTACTCTACTGAGCTTGAATGGGTAGGATTTGCGTGGTTTGATACTATCTTCACCCCATTGTTGCCATTTGCGTTAATTCCAACATTCAATGCTCTGACAGTAAGACACATATTAGTGACCAGTCAAGTCCGGAAGGGGCTGCAGTGTCAGAGCAAGAGAAATAATTACGGTGACCCAGAGTTAGAGAACAGAAGGAAGTCTGTGATTTTGCTATTCACTATATCTGGTAGCTTCATTCTTCTGTGGTTGGTGTATGTTATTTATTTGCTTTATCATATTCTAACAAAGAAAACTACTGGGGATTACAATGATTCAGAATATGTATTTCAACAAGTCGGTTTTATGCTCCGGAATTTAAGTTGCTGTACCAACACATTTATTTATGGGGTGACTCAATCTAGATTTAGGGAGCAGCTAAAGAGTGCAGTGAAATATCCAGTTACAACACTTATTCAATTAGTTAATAAACAAAACAACCACCTTGTGGCAAGGTTCAACAGTTCTAGTCTGTAAGTGTCATGTTTACCCTAGACTTCCATTGGAAACATGTGAAATAAACATCAGTGCACATTAACACAAAGGGCTTTTGAATGAGCAGGTATGATGGGGCTGGAGCTATAACAATAAAATTAAAGAGATTATTGACATGTAGAGCTTGTTGGAGGGGTCTCCAAGAGTTGGAGAGGGTGGAGGAGGGGCAAGGGAATATTCCATGTTGGTAAGATAGGAAGGAACAGCGAATATCTTAACACCATTCTCATTGGTTTGATCTTAACTCCATTTACCTCACTTGCTGAAAGAAGAATCTTTTCCTTGCTAAAACAAAATCCTGCAGATACTTCAAAAAGTGTATGGATTCGATATAACCTTGTTTAATTTTGGAGATACTTCTGAGTCTGTATATATTGCATGATCCCCCTTGGTCACATCTAGTCTTTCCCCTTCTTCCCCAGTCAGATGTTAAACAGGGAGGCTGACTAAGTTCAGTCAAGGGGTTGAGCCAGAGAGCTAGGTCCTGTATTGAAGCAGAAAGCTCAGCTCAGCAGAGCCCTTGATGCCTCAACTAGTGGGTGACTTAATTTGAAGAGCTGAGTCACTTTCATGTTTTTATCTCCTCAGCTACTGCGCTACAAGCTTATTGTCATCACTGTGCTTGTCAAAAGAATTTCCTTAACCCAACTTCCAGGCGAGCTACCAAATATCTGAGGCTTACAATACAATATAATACAATATGATTCTTGAATACAGCAGAGGAATAAAAGTAGTTGCTTAATTACAGAGTTGAAAATAAGTTAAAAATAGGAAAATATTAAGGGGTTAACATTACAATGTTCTAAGGTAAGGATTATCCCCTCACACCGATCTCCATCCAGGACTTGCTGCCTGCATGTTGCTGCGGAGCTCCTTCCCCGTGCTGCTCCAGGCTTGCAGCCCACGTGCTGCTCCAGGGCTCAGTGCTCATGGTGTTCTGGGGCTCACAGGGCATGCCTGCAGGACCCAGAGCACAAAGCCACATGCCCGTGCTGGTTCCGCTGTGGCACTCGATCTGTGCCCCCTTCCGGTCTGCCGCGGCACTCGGCCCACTCACTCAATTACTCCATTCTCCAGGGTGGGGGGAGATGATGCTGTGGGGGGAGAAAGGGAAAACCACAAAGAGGAGAGAAAAAAAGAGGAAAGAAAAGGTAAAGGGACTGGTGAGCAGAGGAGCTCTGACCAGAGCTTCCTACTGTGCCACCATTTTGTTTGGTTTTACCACACAAACACATTCTATATTCCCAAGTTCCATGTTTGAACTGGCATTGTCAGGCTTAACTTCCTGCTCTTTCTCTAATACCAATCCAAAACTATGCTCCTCTTCTATCTCAGTTTTCTCTATCTCACAGCAAATTGAAACATAGTCCTATCACTCCCATCACCATAGTGACAATTTAATTTTATTCATTCACAGGATGAAGGCATTGCCGGCTAGGCCAGCACTTAGTGCCCGTCCCTAATTTCCCTAAGGGAAGTTTAACTGTCAATCATATTGTTGTGGGTCTGGAGTCACATGCAGGCCTGACCAAGTAAGGATGGCAGTTTGCTTTCCTAAAGAGCATTAGAGCATCTCTGAATCAGAGATAGTAAGAACTGCCGATGCTGGAGTCAGAGATAACACAGTGTAGAGCTAGAGGAACACAGCAGGCCAGGCAGCATCAGAGGAGCAGGAAAGTTGATGTTTCGGGTCAGGACTCTTCTTCAGAAATGGGGGAAGGGGAAGGGAGCTCAGAAATAAATAGAGAGAGGATGGTTGGGGCTGGGGAAGGTAGGTGGGATGGTGATAGGTGAGTGCAGGTAGGCAGTGGTGGGGATTGGTCAGTGAGGTGGGAGGAACGGATAGGTGGGAGAGAAGATGGACAGGTTGTGTCAGGTCAAGCAGGCAGAGGGAGGGTTGGTCATGGGATGAGCACACACACTACTCACAGGCACTCTTTCATACACACTCACACTCTCACACATACCCTTTTGTGCCCTCTCTCACACATACACACAAATTCTCACCCACACATGCTCTCACACAGGCACTCTCGCTCACTGCTTAACACACACACACTTTCACACACAAATGCTACAAACTTTTTCACAGATCAAAACCCCTCAAACCTTATCAAGGAGATAACCTAGACCCTAACTTTTATTTTAATTAAAAGCAAGTGGAAGGTGTTGCATTCCATCTGGGATTTGAATGGTCAAACTATTAGGCTTTAAGCAAAACACACTTTATTTTTACATCACCGTTAAAATATAAATGAAAAAAGAATTGGCATAACTTTAAGTCCATCAAAATGCTTAACAAAATAACATTATTTGACTACTAATCACCAACCGTTCCAATATAGCAGCATCCCACATAGCATACCATAGTCTCGGCAAAGGCAAGTTCAGCAAAACAGATATCCCTCACTTGCTATTTTCTCACTCTAGTTCAGCAGAATGAAATACTGAAAGAAACAGTCTAGCAGCAGAGAGAGAACTCCAGCTTTCCATCTAGCAGCATCAAGTCCAAAAATCCCAATCTCAACAACTGAAAGTGAAACTAAAAACCTGAGACTGAGCGAGCCACCCTCTCATGCTTCTTTTATCTAATTAATAAAACCCAAAGCTATTTATGCTGCTTTCCATGGAGCAGATGCTTTGTCACCAGTTTACGACACCTCGTTCAAGAGAAACAGGACAGAACAAGTTCCTCTTGGGTGGCACAGTGATTAGCACTGCTGTCTCACAGTGCCAGGGACCTGGGTTCAATTCACTCTTGGTTGACTGATTGTCTGGAGTTAGCACATTGTCCCTATATCTGCGTGGGCTTTCCCCCCACAGATCAAAGTTGTGCAGGTTAGGTGGATTGGCCATGGGAAATGAAGGGTTACAGGGGTAGGGTAGGGGGTTGGGTCTGGGAGTGATGGATGGTTGGTGTTGACTCAATGAGCCGAGTGGCGTGCTTCCACACTGTAGGGATTCTATGGTTCCTCCAGGCACCTATCATCACACACACACTTTTGCACTCTGTCTTGCATAGACTGTCTTGTGCACACTGTGATGATGCTGTAGATTTAAGAGGTATATTTTGTCCTGGTTTTTTTTTGAAGAGAAATTTTAAGGCAGAGGTGATGAGCTGGCTAGTGAAGGCCCATAAAGCAATCAGCTTGGGAGACCTTGGGGTTTTAAAAAAAGAACAATAGAAGTGGCCTGAGTGGGTGTGGTCAAGCTCTCAAAGATCAAGGATTTTTGGTTAGCTTTCAGCACTTGCTGTTGAAAGTTTGAAGAAATGGAAGCTATTTTTCCCTCTTGTGATCACAGCCAAAAACTGGGTGATCTCTTTCTAGGCTGCTGGATTGCATATGAGACAAAATCTGTTTTCTGAATTTGCCTTTTTTGTCAGGGGTGTGTTTATGGGATGTTATTGTATTGGAACAATTAATTAGCAATATTTACTGTACATATTCTATTAAGTTTTCCAATACAGTTGTTATTCTAAGTTCTTCTTTCTTTTGTTGTATTTTAACTGTAGTGTTTGAATAGTTTGTGTTTTGCTTGTCGTCGAGTAGTTTGATCAGTCAAATTGCATCTTAAAGACATTATTTTACATTTGCCTTTAAAATAAGATAAATTTAGGTCTAGGCTACCTTCTTAGAATATTTTGAGAGAGTCTGATCTGGTCCATAACAAATTGGGGTCCAAATACACCTTTTAAAGCCACAGCAAGGTCACAGCCCTCTCTCCTGTACCCACTCTCACCTACTCAATTACACATACATACTCTCTCACATACACTCTTTCATATTCGGTCTCATACACACTCTCACACACATACTCTCTCACACTCCAAAATACTCTCTCATGCTCTCTCACACACTCTTTCTCACACAGATGCGCCCTCTCTCTCCCTCTGTCACACACTCTCCCTCACACTCTTTCACAGATATACAGTGGTTTAAGTAAGCAGCTCCTTTTTCCTGGCGATTAGGGATGGGCAATAAATGCTGACCTGGAAAGCAACACCGACCTTGCATGAACAAATAAGAAACTTATGTTTGAAAAGTAGAAGTACAGAACCACATGTTTGAAAGAAATCTTCTCTGCTACACCCATTTATTTCAATGGAGGTATAAATGAGTTTCATACATTAGAACAAGCTTTCTCAACAGTGCATCATTACACAAACCAACATAATTTACTCCCTCAAATCATTTTGTCTAGTGATGTCACGGAGTACAGTCAATTGCTGTGCCAATAATGCCCTTCAAGCTTGAATATATCAACTATGTCGTTTGCCTATTTGGTCACAGAAGGCATATTTTGACATGTATTGTATAGATTGCATTATTGCAACTATGACACATTGTTTAAATGTTCATCTATGTATTAACAGAATTGCATTCAAATAAATTTAAATGTTTTCTATATTATTGTATTATTGCTTTCTTTGGTTACCTCTAGAATCACCCAATAACCAATTCTTGATTCTCTCCATTTCCCATTTACACGCTGTCCCTCAGCAACATTATCTGAAAACACAACAATCATGTTCCCCATGTATACTGATTGCAGCCAGTTTCTACATCACCACCATGAACTCTGCACTTTGTAAGTGATCTGTTTGTCCAACATCCAGTAGTAGGTTCCTCTAAGTAAATATCATCAGATTGAAATTATTGTCTTTGTTTATGATTGCAAACTGCATTCCTTCTACACCAACTCTATCCCTTTCCCTGAGAAGTGTATGAAGCTGATGTGATGTTGAATTTGACCCTGATCAATGGACCAGATTACTACATCATCACCAGCCTACCTCTACCACCAATAACAATGGAATGGCTTTATCCATGCTGCTGAAACAGTTATCCACATATTCACTGCTCAGTGGTTAGCACTGTGGCCTCACAGCACTAGGGACCCAGTTCAATTCCACCCTTGGGCAACTCTGTGTGGAATTTGCACATTCTCCCTGTGTCTGCGTGAGTTTCTGCTGTTAGCCATGGGAAGTGTAGGGTTACAGGGTAAGGGGATGGGTCTGGGTGGGATGTTTTTTGGAGGGTTGATGTGGACTTTTTGGGCCAAATGGCCATTTCCACACTGTATGGATTCTATAGATTTACCTAGGTTTCACTATTCCTGGATCTCCTTCAACCTTTAATTGCACACTAACAAGAGCGCATTCAAAACTCTACTGCCTTGTTTTATGCTTGGACTGAGGTCAGTCAGGTGGATCTCATTGAATGTGAGTTCCTGATTGGGGCTGTTACTCTGGTCCAATCAGGGAATCTTGGCTGACAGATATTAACAGGAGTGTCAGGATTTCTGGTCACTCTAGGAGCTGGCTCTCTGCTAACTGGATTAGTGTCGTGTACTGTGCATGTGCAAAAAAAGGGATACCGCCCTTTGTGGAGTTATTTCACTTGGATCCTAACTCTCATCAAGTTTCCTTCACCTATCGCCCTCATTCTCACTGATGTATAGTTACTTTTCTTCATCTTTCTCTTTTTTGGTTTGGCACTATGAGTTGAGGTGAAGAGTTGAACTTTGAAGAGCAGCTTGTTTTAAGGAATAAGAGAACAGAGACAGAGTTTGCTGTTGGGCCCTGATCTGGAAGATAATGCAACTTTGTTATTGTTTTAAGAACATAGTAGACGAATCAGCACCGAGTACTGATATGTTCAAGGCTAGCAGCTGGTTGGATGTTGAATTGATCAGTCAAGGAAGGACCAGTGTTAACCAGCCAACAACAAGGAATGTTGATTAGAAAGAGGAAAAAGAAAACCTTTCACTGGGCTTTGGCAGGAGAGTGATTTCTGGGTGCTCTAGAGACTGCCGTTGAATGTTCTGAGAAAAGAATCGCAGCCTGTAGGAAGTGGGGGAATATTTCTTGAAGTTTGCTGGTAACTTAGTAATTCAAGCAAATACAATTCTACTTGATTGTGATTTCATGAAGGCCTGGTATCCATCATTTGAAATGGTTTATTGAACTGGTAAATTACAATTCTTTTATTTTCTTTGTTAATTATCCCTTAACTGTGCCGGTTTGTCTGTGTGAGTGAGAGTTATGATCAAAGATCATCTATATTAATCACATTACCTAGTTTTTCTAAGTTCTGCTGAAGTTACGTTATTAACATCTTGTTCATTTTTGTTTGAGTTATAAACATGGTGTCCAAGATCTGTTACACATAAAGTCTGGTTAGGAACAATTAGGCAATTTTGAGACTCATTGAATGTTTAAACTTCATTGTGTCGTGAATCCAGTGACACTGAGATTGATTTTGTTTGGCTTGCTATCCCTGCATCATAACAATGACTTAAACTTCTGCTCCAGCAAAGTTTCTGTTCTTGTTTTCAAACCATGGCCTTGGTCCTCCTTATTTATGTAAACTCCTCCAGCATAGTAATATGTTCAAAATTTTTTAACAGTTCTCCCTGTTGTGGCCTGCTTGACCATTTATCACCCCATAATCAGCAGTTGTGTTTTCAACAGACATGACGAACTCTAGAATTTGCTCCCCAAGCCTCTCCATCTCTTCAACTCTCTGTTGTGTTTGTGTGTGTTTCACTTTGTCTCTCTAACTGGTTTGTCTTTGTGTTTCTCTCGCTCGTCTGTCCATTTCTCTTGTCTGTCTGTCTCTCACTGTCATCTGTCTCTCTCTCTCATCTGTCTGTTTCTTTCCCATCTGTCTGTCTGTCTGTCTCTCACTCTCATCTGTCTCTCTTGTATCTCTCGCTCTCATCTCCCTGTCTTTCTCCCATCTGCCTCTCTTGTCTGTCTCTGGCTCTGTCTGTCCATCTGTCTCTCTTTCTCTGTCTGTCTCTCATCTGTCTCTCTCTTGTCTGTCTGTCTCTCCTTTAAGATGCTCAGCCATGTTCTTTGAGCAAAGGCTTTGATCTAATATTTCCTTCTGTGATTTGATGTTAATTTTACTTTGTATCGTCCCTATCTTGGGATGGTTAACTGCATTAAAGGTGCTGAATAAATGCAAGTTGTTGTTATTGAGGGTTCTTCACATTGCTCAAATTTTTCTACCTGTCAAATATGTGTAATGATTGTAACTCTGAAAAAATCAACAGTAGAAATCAAAGTTCTGTTACGTAAATGATTCAGATACAGAAATAAAATAATTTGTAGGTTGGTCAATCATGTCACTTCCCATTAAATCCACTGGAGGACCTTGTGTTCTGTACAGCAATTTTACGTGCACTGAATTTCTTTGCTTTCCAACCAGCAATCAGTAAAAGCAATGTTCCAAGGGTATTATAACCGAGTTGTAGACCCAAGTACCTGCAGAACATTAAAATTGTTAATAGAATGCCGTTTATACATGATCTATCTTCATAGGAGAACAAAGGAAATTCAAAGTGGGGCAATACCAACTACAGGGATTGTTAGAATAACTGCAACACATGATTAATGTTACATTTGCATTTTACAACATATTTCTCTCTGTTCTCACGTTTCTGTCATATTTCCATGGCAACCATTGACCACTTTAAATTTGTACACCCAATTATCAGGGAAATTGCACGCGCACAGTTGTACTTGTATAATTATACCCAACCACCAATGGAGATGCTGTTGAGCCTCAGCTTGGCATCTTCCAATCTGCATCCAACAGCTGTAGTCTGCTTTCCAAATTCCACTCAATTTTAGATATTTAATACCCAGTTTGTTCACACGTAAGTACAAATAAGTCAATAGTTGGATTAACATGGGGTAACCATAGGATGAGTGATTTTTACTAATATTTGTGAAGTGAATCAGTAATACTGAGAAGGTTTTGTGTAAATGGAGTTCAAGCTCACACTAAAGAAAAGCGAAATAGTACAGACCTTGAAGTACAGTACACACTTCCAAAAACAGGAAAACCGGATTAAATTTAGAGTTAGTTTGGAGAGAGATTTGTAAGAACAGACTATCAGGGTGAATGTAATTGTCTATGTAAATCAAAATGGCTGTGCATTTTCAACTCCCTGCTGCTGTGGAAATGAAAGAGGATGTGAAATATAGAAAACATAGAAAATAGAAGCAGAAGTAGACCATTTGGCCCACTGCAACTTAACATGAAAACAAAATTCCTGGGTTTGATTCCAATGTTGTACAACTGTCTGTGTGGAGTTTGCACATTCTCCCCGTGTCTGCGTGGGTTTCCTCCGGGTGCTCCAGTTTCCTCCCATAGTCCAAAGATGTGCAGGTTAGGTGGACTGGCCATGCTAAATTGCCCATAGTGTCTAAGGTGGGAAATGCGGGGGTAGGGTCCATGTGGGATTCTTTTTGGAGGGTCGGTGTGGACTCGATGGGCCAAATGGCCTGCTCCCACATTGTAGGGATTCTATGAGTTTACAATTCTATAAATTGGAATCTTTTCCATTCTCAGTGGTAATACAATGAAACAGTTGTATAACTTTTAAAATATACATTTAAATATAAATATAAATATAAATATAATTTATATAATTTAGAACAATCAACATCTATAGGGAAAAGGTACTCAGCAAACTATTAGGATTGAGGGCAGCCAAGTCCCACAGGCCCAATGGCCAACATCCTAGGGTACTAAAGGAAGTAGCCGCAGAGATATTGGATCCATTGGTTGCAATATTCCAAAATTCCTTGGACACGGGAAAAGTTCCAGTGGATTGGAAAAATGCTAATATAATGCCCCTAAAGTGTTAGAATCAATTATCAAGGAAGCAATATCAGGATATTTGGAAAGTCAAAACGCTATCTATCAGAGTCAGCATGGTTTTATGAAGGGCAAATCATGTTTCTGTAATTTGCTAGAGTTCTTCAGAGATGTAACAAGCAAAGTGGATAGTGGGAATTCTGTAGATGGAATATTTCTGGAAGCCACTTGATATGGTGCCGCACAAAAAGTTAATTCACAAGGTTGGATTAGGGATAATTTATTAGGTGACTGGCTGAGGGACAGGAGACAGACAGTCGGGATTAATAAGTTGTTTTTCTGGACGGCAAGAAGTAACAAGTGGGGGGTGCCATAGGGTTCAGTTTTTGCACCCCAGCTACTTACAATCTATATTAACGACTTGGATACAGGGATAGAAGGCTCTATAGCCAAATTTGTGGACAACACCAAAATAGGCGGGACGGTAAATAGCAATGAGGAATATAGATGGGTTAGGAGAGTGGGCCAAAATGAGGTAGATGGAGTTTAACGTGGATAAGTGGGAGGTCATTCATTTTGGTCGGAAAAACGGGAAGGCAACCTACTATCTAAATGGGGAGAGACTTCGGGGTGCTCCGGTGCAGAGGGATCTGGGTGTCCTCTTTAATGAGTCACAGCAAACTAGCATGCAGGTACAGCAGATAATAAAGAAAGTGAATGGAATGTTGGCTTTTATAGCTAAAGGAATAGAACATAAAGGTAAGGAAGTATTGTAAGGAAGTGAGACCGCATCTGAAGTATTGTGCACAGTTTTGCTCCCCTTATTTGAGGAAGGATGTGGTGGCATTGGAGGCAGTTCAGAGGACGTTCATTAGATTGATCCCAGGAATGAGGGGTTTGTTGTCTGAAGAGAAATTGTAGGCCCATACTCCCTGGAATTTAGAAGAATGAGGGGAGATCAAATTGAGGTATTCAAGATGATAAAAGGTATAGATTAAAATAGACATGGAGTGGATGCTTCCTCTTGTGGGGTATTCTAGGATGAGAAGGTCATAGTCTTAAGATAATGGGAGCAAATCTAAAACAGAATTGAGGAGAAACTACCTGTCTCAAAGGGCTGTGAATCTGTGGAATTCACTACCCCAAAATGCAGTGGATGCTGGGACAGTCAGTAAAATCAAGGAAGAATTAGACAGATTTTTAATTGTTAATGGGTTGAAGAGTTATGGGGAGAAAGCAGGAAAATAGGGGTGGCAGTGCAGACTCGATCGGCCTAATGGCATAATTCTACCCCTATTTCTTATGAACTCTTTTCCCTGGAATGTAGGAGACTGAGGAATGACCTTATAGGAGATCTATAAAATCATGAGAGACATAGATAAGGTTGCTGGCAAACAGCTTTTCCCCATGGTAGGGGAGTCTAAAATTAGAGGGCATAGGTTTAAGATGAGTGGGGAGAGATGGGTTTGGATGGGCAATTTTTTTGCACTGGGGGTGGTGAGTGCCTGGAACGAGCTGCCAAATGTAGCAGTAAAGGTGAGTACAATTTTGTTACTTAAGAAACATTTGGATAAGTACATGGTTGGGATAGGTATGGAAGGCTATGGACCAAATGGAATTGATTAATTGCGAAAACTCGGCAGCATGGACAAGTTGGACAAAGGGCCTGCTTCCTTGCTATAAATCTCTAATTAAATAAAGCTAAATTAGAATAGAATTAGAATGCTATTAGTGTTGGAGGAAGAGTGCTGTATTGCATTGTAGATCCTACTGAAAAACAATAAAGCAAACAGGAGAGATTTTGAAAGCTGTGAAGACACACTTTGAACACTATGTTAATGTAATGTATGAGTGTTTTTTGTTCAACATCAGCTCGGGGGAGGGAGACTTTTGATCAACAGATGACAGTATTAATATCTGAATCCCGAGAGTTTGGAAAATTTGAAGGATAATCTAATCAGAGATAAAAAACTGACTCTAATGAAAGCTATTGATTCATGAAGATTCTCTGAGATTGTAAATTATCAGCTTCAGAAAGGAATAATTTGATTAGGGATAGTCAACACGGTTTTGTGAAGGGTAGGTCGTGCCTCACAAACCTTATTGAGTTCTTCGAGAAGGTGACCAAACAGGTGGATGAGGGTAAAGCGGTTGATGTGGTGTATTTGGATTTCAGTAAAGCGTTTGATAAGGTTCCCCATGGTAGGCTATTGCAGAAAATACGGAGGCATGGGATTGAGGGTGATTTAGCGGTTTGGATCAGAAATTGGCTGGCTGTGAGAAGACAGAGGGTGGTGGTTGATGGGAAATGTTCATCCTGGAGTTCAGTTACTAGTGGTGTACCTCAAGGATCTGTTTTGGGGCCACTGCTGTTTGTCATTTTTATAAATGACCTGGATGAGGGCGTAGAAGGATGGGTTAGTAAATTTGCGGATGACACCAAAGTCGGTGGAGTTGTGGATAGTGCAGAAGGATGTTGTAGGTTACAGAGGGACATAGGTAAGCTGCAGAGCTGGGCTGAGAGGTGGCAAATGGAGTTTAATGCGGAAAAGTGTGAGGTGATTCACTTTGGAAGGAGTAACAGGAATACAGAGTACTGGGCTAATGGTAAGATTCTTGGTAGTGTGGATGAGCAGAGAGATCTCGGTGTCCATGTGCATAGATCACTGAAAGTTGCCACCCAGGTTGATAGCGTTGTTAAGAAGGCGTACAGTATGTTAGGTTTTATTGGTAGAGGGATTGAGTTTCGGAGCCATGAGGTCATGTTGCAGCTGTACAAAACTCTGGTGCGGCCGCACTTGGAGTATTGCGTACAGTTCTGGTCACCGCATTATAGGAAGGATGTGGAAGCATTGGAAAGGGTGCAGAGGAGATTTACCAGGATGTTGCCTGGTATGGAGGGAAGGTCTTATGAGGAAAGGCTGAGGGTTTTGAGGCCGTTTTCGTTAGAGAGAAGAAGGTTAAGAGGTGACTTGATAGAGACATACAAGATGATCAGAGGATGAGATAGGGTGGACAGTGGGAGCCTTTTTCCTCGGATGGTGATGGCTAGCACGAGGGGACACAGCTTTAAATTGAGGGGTGATAGATATAGGACAGATGTCAGAGGTAGGTTCTTTACTCAGAGAGTAGTAAGGGCGTGGAATGCCCTGCCTGCAAAAATAGTAGACTCACCCACTTTAAGGGCATTTAAATGGTCATTGGATAAACATATGGATGATAATGGAATAGTTTAGGTTAGATGGGCTTCAGATTGGTTTCACAGGTCGGCGCAACATTGAGGGCCGAAGGGCCTGTACTGCGCTGTAATGTTCTATGTTCTATGTTCTATGTTCAGCATCTTAACGGGTTTGCATTATTCTTTGAGACATTTTAGGCTGAATGAGAACAACGGATTCCAAAATGAAAGAACATTCATAGAAACACTAGTAGGAAGGTCAAAGGCAGAGCACGGAATGCAAATATAGAGGGGCGTCATACAAAAGGAATCAAAGTATGTGCAACATGACAAAGAGAGATCTTGATCAATTAGGTGAATGGGCTGAGGAGTGGCAGGTGGAGTTTAATTTGGTTAAATGTGAGGTATTGCATTTTGGTAAAACAAACAAGGGTAGGACGTATACAATTAATGGTAGCGCCCTGGGTAATATTGTAGAACAGAGAGACCTAGAGTCCATAATTCTTTGAAATTTATGTCATGTAGACAGGGTGGTTAAGAAGGCATTTAGCACACTTGCCTTCATTGCTCAGACCTTTGAATATAAGAGTTGGGATGTCATTTTGCAGTTGTATAGGACATTGGTGAAGCCACTTTTGGAGAACTGTATACAGTTCTGGTCACCCTGTTGTAGGAAGAATATTATCAAATTGGAGAGCTTTCAGAAAAGATTTACCAGGATGTTGCTGGGACTGGAGGGTCTGAGTTAGAAAGATAGGTTGGATAGTTTGGAATATAAAGTGGTAGATGCAGGCACAGTTACAATATTTAAAAGATATTTTGGCAGGTACATGAATACGAAAAGTTTGGAGGAATATAGGCCAAATGCAGGCAAGTGGGACTAATTAAGTTTGGGAAATTTTGTGGGCATGGATGAGTTAGACCTAAAGGTCTTTTTCTGTGCTGTATGACTCTATGACAGAGGAGGAAATTTTTTTGTGTTGAGTCAGAGGAAGTAGGTGAGATTTTTAATGAGTACTTCACATTGGTATTCACCAAGGAGAGAGACAATGGTAATGGTAAGGTTAAAGAGGGGTTTGTTGATGGTCTGGGGCATGTCAATGTCACAAAGAGGAGGTGTTGAGTGTCTTGAAAAACATTAAGGTAGATAAGCCCCTAGGATCTGATAGGATCAATACCAGGATATTGAAGGAGCGAAGGGAGGAGATTGCTGATGCCTTGACAGAGATCTTTGTATCCTCTTTAGCCACGGTCAAGTCCCAGAAAACCTAATGTTCTTCTGTTGTTTAAGAAGGTAAACAAGAATAATTCCAGGAAATTATAGTCCGGTGAGCCTTACATCAGTGGCAGGGAAATTATTGGAGAAGAGTTTAAGGGAAAGGATTTACTTGCATTCGGAAAAGATTAGACTTATTAGGAATAATCAGCATGGCTTTATGCAGAAGAGGTCTTGTCTCACAGATATGATTGAAGTTTTTTGAGGAAGTGATTGAAGTGGGTAAAGACGTGGATGGTGTCTACATTTACCAAAATGTTTGACAAGCTCCCTCATGGTAGGCTGGTTCAGAAGATTAAGTCAGAGGGAATCCACAGTGATTAGGCAAATTGGACACAAATTGGCTTGGTTATAGATGGTAGTTGTGGAGCTGTGTTTTTGCCATACTGGAGGTCTGTAACCAGTGATCTTCTGCAAGGATCAGTGATGGACATCTGTTTTTAATATATATAAATGATTTGGATGAAAATGTCGGTCTGATTAGTAAGTTTGCAGATGGCACAAATTGGTGGATGTGTGCATAGTGAAGAAGGATATCAAAGGATGTGACAAGATATAGATCAGTTGGAAAGCTGGATAGAGAAATGGCAGATAGAGTTTAATCTGAGCAAGTGTGAGGTGATGCATTTTGAGAGGTCCAATACAAGAGGAAAATATACTGTAAATGGCAGGACACTTGGAGCATTGATAAACAGAGGGATCTTGGGGTGCAAGGCCATAGCTCCCTGAAAATGGCAGCACAAGTGGATAGGGTGGTAAAAAAGGTGTATGGTATGCCTGCCTTCATTGATCGGTGCACTGAGTGTAAAAGTTGGGAAGTCATGTTGCAACTGCATAAGGCTTTAGTTACGCCACATTTGGAGTATTGTGTGCAGTTCTGGTCACCA